GTGTGCATGCGAGCGCAGCGCGTGTGTGTGTGTGTGTGTCTGTCTGTGTCTGTGTCTGTGTCTGTGTCTGTGTCTGTGTCTGTGTCTGTCTGTCTGTGTGTGTGTGTGTGTGTGTGCGTGCGTGTTTACCTTTTTTGGAGGGTGAGGTTACTTGCAGGATCAGGGGATGTAGTAAGTAGTGATTCTCAGATTTTGTGGGTTTTGCGGGGTACTTACTCAAAACGGTCAGGAAACGTAGTAAGCACGGCTATACTTACGGTAAATTACATTAATTAATACTACAAAAAACTTGGTTTAGGTCTTTATACCCATACATACTAAGTCCCGTGATCCTCTGAGTAGGCTTGACCAGAAAACATTGAAGCCCATATCAGCATCAACCTCCTCCACCTCCTCCATTCAGAGACCTCACCAAGGGTTTAGGGTTTAGGGTTACTCAACTCTAAGCCCTGAACTGCGTGCGAGGTCTTTATTGGCACAACATGAAGCCAAATCTCAACAATCAACCTTCCACAAGACTCCTTATAGAACCCCTAGAAAAGCAGAATAGTCTCCCTATCCAAAGGTTATCAAAACCCAACAATCCCTTCAGATAATTTTTGTTACCCCCCAAATCCCCTTATCGAACCCTTGAAACACCCGAAACCTTGAACCCTAACCTAGACCCTAAACCCGAGGCCCGGGCATTTGGCCGGCCTACTGGCTGGTGAACAGCGACCTGCCCTGGCCGAAGGGCTCGGGAGCTCAGAGCTTTCAGCTTTTTTTTGTTAGGGGCCTTTTGGGGGCTCCATCAAGGGATCTGTAGGGCTCCTTAAGGGATCTATAGGGCTCCTCTCTGGGAAGCTCCGTGCCTCGGAGCTTTTAATTTATTTTTTGGGGGGCTTTAGGGGTCTTGAAGTTTTAGGGTTTTACGGGAGCATTTAGGGGTTTGGGATTTAGGTTCGAGAGTAGTGGGATTCACGGTTCCCAGACCAACCAAAGTCCTGTAGTTAGGGAACTTGTAGGATCCCTAATATGAGTTAGGGCTTATTCCTTAATTAAGGGATTCTGGAAGCTCAGAGTTTTCAAGGCGCTTTAGGGTCTTAAGGGCTCGATCAAGGGATCTACTGGGCTCCTTATAAAGGTACGTCTCAGCACAGGATCCTTCCTAGCCGTCGTGGCGTTGACCCCAAACCAAAATCTCAAGCACCCTCAAAATACTTGACGGAACCACGAGGTGGGGAGTTGGACGTTCTGGAGCTGCTTTGCTGCACCCATTGAAGTTTAGAGGCTCTGGGTGTTGGTGCCCGTATGTTCGTAGTGTACCCTCCCCTGAACCCTAAGCCTTGCCCGAAAGGGGACGCTGCACACACTAAGTTCCCTTCATCCGATAAGCTCGAAAAACCGTCAACCTTCCTTCACCTTGACGCCAAACTCCTGATCTAGGTCAGGGCCACTTGGTAGTTAGACTATAGAGGCTCTAGAAGAAGACACCTGGAGCGTACTCCCAAAGCCTACCTCGGGGTTTACCGGTCAAGCCAGTCTTACATGGCCGCTGCTGGGTATGCAGTCTTCATCTGGTAGCAACTTATGCTTCTGAAGGACCTTTCATGCCTAATCCTCTAAACCCCAAATCCTCAAACCCTAAACCTAAACCCTAAGGCGGGTTGTTGGGTTTCTCGGTGTGCAGACGTTCCGAGAGCCCTGGGCTTCGAAAGGGGGAATACAAGTCATGGCTTCATACGAAGAGGAACAAGGACGCCAGGGTTCCGTTCAAGGGTTGCCTGAAGAGGTTCCTTTAGGGGTTACGACGATAAGGGTTACTACAACGGTTCCAATTTCATACAGGTCTTGTATATCGGAACGGGGTTAGGGCCAGGAGGTCTTGTAGTGGACGCAACCAGGAATGGGGCCTTTAACTTTAGGTTGTAAACTGTTTTTTTTCGGGCAAGGTTTAGGATTCTCGGGTTCACAGCTTCCAGGGTCTTCGGGCTTTAGGGCTTTAGGGCTTCAGGGTGGAGTTTTTATGCGAGTCTAAGAAGGCAGAAAGTGTAGACGGATACCTTACTTGAGGTTTCCTCCTTACAGGAGCCCGACTATGGTAAAGACTACCCCCCAATGAAGCCACTCTGGAATATTTGTGCAAGGTATGCCAATGATCAGACAGCGAAGGTCACGTTCCACACAGACTTCAATTGCAGCCGCTCCTGCCGAATCAGACAGATTTTCCCGTACCAAAGCCCTAAACCCTAAACCCCCAAAGCCCCAAACCCTGAACCCTAAACCCTAAACCCTAAACCCCCAAAGCCCCAAACCCTAAACCGTGACCCTGAGCTCCAAACCCTAAACCAATAACGCAACGCCCAAAGTCACACACCCTTCCACTCCTTTGTAGACCCCAAATCCTGAATCATGAACCAGCCATTAAAGGACCCCCAAACCGGCCTCTAAACCCCAAGAAAACAAGCGCGCACGTCTTCCGTGGATCTAGCTCTGCGTGGTGTCGGGGTGTAGAAGTTCGAGTAATTAGCGGCTTAGGGTGTTGTCAGTTTTTCGATGCAACACCACTCCCCCCGCTAAAAGGCGGAAACAGTCCTGAATATCATTGCTCCGAATAAGAACTCCTGTAAACCCGAGATCATCGGAATCAGGAATCATGTAGGGTTTTTGCTGTTTACAGGAAGGTCGGACGTGGCTTCATGGTTTCTGGGATGCTCTCGACCCCATACCCCTCTTTGTTCGTGAAGCCTCAGGCTCCCGAAAGACCATTTCCTGAACCCTAAACCCTAAACTCTAAAGCCTAAACTCTAAACCCTAAACCCTAAACTCTAAACCCTCAACCGTAAACCCTAAACTTTAAACCCTAAGACTCTAAACCCTAAACTCTAAACCCTAAACCGAAAGGATTCCGCAGAGAGCCTGGCTCCAGGGATTTAGGTTCGGCCCCAGGCTCCAGTCCTAAACCCCAAACCCTACCTACAGGCTTAGGGTTTTGGGGGGTTTTGGAGTTTAGTGTGTTGGGGGTTTTGGAGGTTTTGGGTTTTGGGGGTTTTGGAGTTTAGGGGTTTGGGAATTAGGGTTTAGGGGTTTAGTGTTTTGGAGGCTCAGGGTTTAGGGGGTTAGGGTTTGATGCAGGGTTTAGGGTTTTTAGGAGTTAGGCTTTAGGGGTTTATTGATGCGTTTAACGGTTTATTCAAGGGTTTAGGGGTTTAGGGTTTACAGGTTTCGGGTTCAGGGTTCATAACCCCTTTTCTTGGGGTTCGTAGTTTTATGGGAAGGATCTGCTATACAGAAAAGTAGAGAGACCTGTTAAAATGGGGTAGGGTATGAGCCTACAGGTAGAGAATCCCCGAGATATTCCGTGCTCCAGCAGGGAGCTTCCGAAGAGTAGGTGCCCTAACAGGATCCCTAAAGGTCCAAACAGGTGTAGACTTGATTATAGGGGCATTAATAGTTACCTATACTATTTTGGGGACTCCTTATTATAGACTGTAAATATACACCAAAAACCGTATTCCAATTATTAAGGCCCCTACATTAAGCAGTTCCCACAAAGGTACTTTAGGGTCAAAGTATATGCTAGATGGGTAAATGTACCATTAGAAGTCAAGTCTGAACAGTAGGATCCGTCTTGCATCTTCTTGTAAAGGGGCTCCTTCAAAGCCTATAAGTCATAATTCCAGGATCCTCAATCAGCGGACGACGCCCCCCTTCCCTGGTTCAAAGCAACCAACCACCATGGCCATGGCGGCCGACCCTGCTTTTCGCAATGATGGATGGGCCCTTTGCCGAAGCACTGGGTTTGCAGGTTTAAGAAATAGAAGCCTACATAAGTGCTAATACTACTCCTTTGGGTTTCTTGATCAGGTAAAGCCCCTACGGTACATTGGGGTAGGCGGCCCAGAATTTCAAGGGTTTTCTAGGACTCGCTTAGGGGGTTTGCAGGTGGGTTGCAGCGAAGGATTTCGTCGGGTGTAGAGGGTTTGATCACAAAGACTTCAGTGAGTGTTTCCTTGGATGTTAACGGGGCTTGCTGTGGTACATTGAGTCCGACAGACTTCAAAACCGGAACTGGTCTCTTTTGGGTTGTCGAATGTGGAGTAGGGTTCGTTGTGTTTGCAGTCAATATTTCTGGATGCTAGGACTGTTGCAGGTTTAGTTTTGCACACCGTGTCTAATCTGCAGCAAGCCTTAAAACTGCTAATGTATATTCCAGGGTTCCACGAGACCATGAGAACGTTGGGAAACGACTATCAACGCTATTAAGCCGCATCGAAGATTTAGAAGCTCAGTAGAACACGTTCCTCAGAAGCACTTCATGTTCCTCTAATTGCCTGGCTACGAACCTGAAATTATCTCCGCCTGTAAAACTGTATAACATTAACCCAAATGCCTGGTTATTATAGATACCTTGAACCCATAGGGTTGAAAACGATGGGGTCGCCGCTTATAGTCTGTGGTGCCTGGCGCCCGAGACTCCTCATCAGGTACTTTAGAGCCAACCCCGAGCCAAACCCTAAACCCAAGGGCTAGTTGTGGGTACTTTGGAGCCAAACCCTAAATCCTTAGCCCTTAAACCCAAATCTGCTCTACACCCTTCCGCTTCCAAAGACGAGGCTATCTGCAGAGCCCGCAGCGGCTGCGATGTAGCATACACGGAAACTTGTACTCCAAGAGCAAGCTGTTTTTGGATAACAAGAACTCTAACGTAGAACTGTTAGAGTTTGCGGGGTCAGTTAGCCTAATTCTGAAAAACCTCAACTTTTCGGTCAGGCTTGGTCTAATGTACCTAAACCCTAAACCCTAAACCCTAAACCCTAAACCCTAAATACGGCTTCGGGCTCACTCTGTGGTTCTCAGGTTTCGGTTGTCATCGTGTTCCTTGAGGTTTCCTAAAATAGTAGTTACAGTATATGTAGAGTCCTTATTCTAACCATCAAGGGCCCCCCCATAGGTTTTTGATATGGTGTGCCGAGGCAATTGAGGCCGTAAACAGCTGCCTCTCCATTTGTGGAGAGAACATGGCAGCGATGCAGCGGTTGGGCGTGATACTTCTGATTTCGGGCATCTGTGGCACGCTGATGACAACATGGTCTCTTGGATTGTAAAGCTTTGATTTCCTTTGCTGCCGGACAGCTGGGCTACTAGGAAACGGTCATGAACTGTGCATTGGGGGGCATGCAGAGGTAAATACTTTAGACGAGGTTGTCATAGCAACACTGACATGATAGCAGTAGCCAGATCCTGGGCTAACTCAACAAAGGAACCACCTTTTATTCAGGCTCCAACGGCTCCTTTTTGATGATCCTTCCAAGGATCCCTCAAAGAGTCCCTTAACGAATCCCTTAACGGATCCCTAAAGGATGTCTAGGTAGGCGCTCACCACCCGCAAGGTGGCTCCAGCTTGGGAGGAAAAAATGGCCACTCAGAGAAGGAGACTCGGCTCCTAAACGTTCCGCTAGGGTTTAGGGGTTTTCGGTTTTTGGGTTGAGGGTTTCAGGGTGTAGGTTTCCAGGGTTTAGGGTTTTGGGGTTTATGGTTTTGGGGTTTAGGGTTTTGGGATTTAGGGTTCAGGGCTTTAGGGGTTCATGTCAGGGGTCCGAAACTCCAAGCAAAGTAAGTGAAAGGCTCCATGAAGATTTAGACTTACCAGGCAAGTTTAGGGGACCTCTGGCCAAGGAATGTGCTTGGGGGCTTGATGGTGCTGTAACAGGTGACTTGGGATCTTGGTAGGAACTCGTTTCGATTTCTGAGAGGAAGCCGGAACGCACACTACTTGCGACAGACCCACGTTCTGGCAGCCCTTATCCAGAACCCCTACCTGGACCCTACAGAACCTCCTTTTTGGGGGGTTCCTTCAGTCCTTAAAAGGTATGTTGGTCAGGGCCCAGGTAAAGCCTCAGTGGCACATATAAGCCTTTCTAGACCTCTTTTGAAACTCTGGTCGGCTCGAGAAGACCCCCATGCCCGAATGATTAACTCAGGAACTGACCCTAACCCCTAAGCCCAAAACGCTGAAGCCCAAACACATAAACTACCGATACCCTATACCCCAAGCCCCTTACCCCTGAACCCTAAGTCCCTAAACACCTCAGACTCTGCAGCCTAAACTCAAACCCCTCAACCCCTAAACAACTGAGACCCTGAAGCCCAAACCTGAACCGCTAAGAACCTAAACCCCGAGCCCATCTGAGGTTAGAAGTATGCGCAGGCCCTTCATGGGGATGCTATATAGGGACCCCCAAGGATGCACATATGAGGTATATAGTAGGTATGTAAGGATCCCAGGGTCAAGGGCCCATACTACGGTTGATGATCTAATACCTGCATTAGCCACAATACGGAATGTACCATAATTGTTATAGTCTAGAGTCTAGGGTCCTTAAGATAATGCAGGATTTAGATCATCAACAGTAGGGGCCCATGGTTTCAACTTCCGACCCCAGGAGACGCCAAGCTGCTTGCGTCAGACCATGTGGGTGACGGCTTCCTGTTGCATTCGCAGGTGCCCAAAGACAGGCGCAATGAGTGCAGAGATTTTTTTGTGTGAGGTTTCAGGGCTTTGGTAAATCCTAAACCCTTGAGCTTTAGGGTTTTGTTTCTTAAAGGGTCGTAGGGAGTTTTGTATGGTGTGGTAGGGGTGGAGGACTCAGGCATACTGGTGTTATGAGGTACATAACACCATATCATAGATGGACTGTAAGGGAATGTTATTGCTGAGTCGTCAGACCCCTATATTGGCTGTTTAGGGTTTCGAGGCTATAGGAGCCCCAAACCCTAAACCGTCAAGCTTGATGCTTTTGTTTCTTCGAGGGTTTAGGGGTTTAGGGTTTAGGGTTGTGCCCTATATTAGTTTCTTCGGGGTTCAGGATTTTGTTGCAGGTGGCTGAAGCTGGAACAGCGGGAGTCGTTGTAGGACCCTTGACGACTACGCACTATGTTACTGAGGTTGCCCTGTTTTTTACAACTAAATGTGTTTAGGGTCCAGGGACGGTTTATGGTTTAGGGTCTATATAGTAGGGTTATGTACAGTCTTGCTACCAACATGATCTTTCACTTGTCTGCAGCGGTCGCCGCCGACTTCAGGTGGTGTGTCAGCCTGGAGGATCTGCGTCAATTCCGCCGGCTGGTGGTTGAAGCGGTCTCGCAAGGCACCATTCAACCTAGCGACAGAGACAGGTTCGACGTGTCTGACTTGGTCGTGGGCCCGTGCGTTTACACAGTGACTCGGTCAATATTCCGGATCCTGTTTGCTTTTTGCGGCTGGGTTTCCCCATGCTTAAGTACAAGGATCCCCTTTTCCTTCCCTCAGAAGTGGAATAAACCCTAAACCCTAAGCCCAGTGCGACCCAGGTAAATGAGCAGTTTATCCAGCCGATTACAGCCCGGGCTGGTTCCATGAGCTGGGCCCTATTAAAGCATCCCACTGGTTTGCAGTGCGACGTCTTTGTGACGCACTGCTGGGCAGAGGGGATCTATGAGTTCGTCGAGAGAGTAGAGCATGCATGGCCGAAGAATGCCAAAGGTGCGTACGTCTGCTTTCTTTCCAACCCGCAGAATCTCGACATCGCCAGCCTCATTGCTCAACCGATTGATTCGCCATTCGCCGTCGCTCTGCGATCCGCATCTTCTCTTCTAGTTGTTCCCAATCATCGCTGCTCCATTTACACAAGGCTATGGTGCGTTTATGAAGCTTTTCTGGCTGTTTCGTGGCAGAAGCCATGCTCCCATATAGTATCTGTTTGTTTTGGGTTTTGCTTGTGGAGTTCTCTCAAAACTGAGCAGTTGGGACAAACGGAGTCCTTGTTTTCGTTCTTAAGAGGCTACTGGGGAACCCAAACGAGATCGGAAACCCAGCATCCGAGGAAGAGCGTCATCGCAGCTTCAGTCCAGCAGATGGGTTTCTGGCCTGGCATCTTACGGATGGCCTGCCTGTCGCCTGTCGTTTCTTTGCAAACTCTTGTTTGAAGGTTTACCGTTTCGCCTTAAGTGTTCAGTATAAATTCAGTGTTTAGGGACATGCGCAACCCTAATGACGACTGGTACAGTCGAAGTCGAAGGTACTTCACGGCCAGCGGCATCGGGATATTGTGGCAGCTCGAAAGCGAAGTAGCTCTCCCTCATTTGCCCATCACGTTGGTGGGTGTCTGTGCATGTACCTTGCCAACTTTGAGCACTGCACTTTGTAAAGGTGAACAGCCCCCACCCTAAACCCTAAACCCTAAACCCTAATCCGTAAACTCTAAACTCTAAACCCTAAACCCCTAAACCCCTAAACCCCTAAACCCCTAAACCCTAAACCCAACCCACAAGCCCTAAACTCGACGGTCCCAACCCCCAAGATCTGATCCAACAGCTCCGCAAGCCTTGAAGGGGTGGGCAAGAGGCTTTCGAGTTTGTAGAGTCGATCTCACGAAGAACTTGGCCAGTTTTCTTCGACCACAGGAATCTCTGCTTCCGTGCCCCCATTAAACTAAGTTCTACGTTCGGGCTCATATTGTTTAGGGATGTAGGATGGTGGGCGAAGGAATCGTTGTTTTAAGCATGCAGTTTCTGGATCAGCACCATGGGATGTCGTATCGGCGCAGGCAGCTTGGTCCTACTTTTGAGGAGATGCCAATGCGGCCACGAAGTGTGCAGCTTCCGCCAACGGGCGTGCTTGTTTCTGATGTCGCTCTGTTGTGGCTTCGCCTCGTCGGTGACCTACACCGGTCAGAGCATTTCTTCCGCGATCCAACCCACAGTGGGTAGCCTCTGGCTGATTTGGTTTGTGTTTGTTTGCTGCCTAGATTTTGATCGGATGACATTCGCAGATGCCTTTCTACGGAGCAGATTCTTGGGGAAGGACTTGTCCGATCGCCTGATCATGGAGGCGGGCTGTTCATCTGACACAGACACTCGGGATCACATCTGGCGTTGTTTCTAGACTTTCCTGGAGTTGTCGGACGGCTTAACCCCAAAGACCTGAAGCTCAAGCCTCTGACAGTAAAACAGACCGTGAGCATCCCCTGACAAACCCAAAACCTTAACCCCGGACTCTGAAGCCTCGAACCTCAACCTTTCTATACCCTCCAGGGCCAAGCACCCTCCGTTTTGGATCAAGCCCTAGAGCCGGGGGTTCCCGAAAATAGGGAACCCAATATAGTACCCTAAATAGTAGGATCCCTAGTATAAGGACCCCTAAATAAGATACCCCTAATTTTCGGAAACCCCTAGAGCCCTCCAAGCTCTAAAGCTCTAAAGCCCAGAACTCCACGAAACAAACAGAGGGGTCACAAACCACGACCCTGGCACGCAAGGACAAGGCGCGACTGCGGGCGGAGATTTTCCAAAGCGGGCAATCGCAGTTGGCCTTAAGCTACCATACCATGTTCGTTTAGGCTCTTCTTCTAAACCCCGTAGTAAAAACACATGGTGTCCCGACAAGAAAGGGAGGCTTCTGTAGTTCAAGTTAGGGTTGGGGTTTGGGGTTTAGGGTTTCTGGGGTAATCGGAGTTCGTGGTGTGGCGCTTGGGGTTCGGGGTAAAGGGTTGAGGGGTTCGCAGACTGTTCGCAATGTGGTATTTGGGACTTGCAAAAGGACCCTGCTACCCTCTAAACTGATTAGCCATCTTGCCAAACGTCCACGAAGCTACAGCTGTTTCGGGCTTAGGCTTAGGGGTTTCGGGGGTTTGGGGGTTTGGAGATTCGCTTTGTGTTTTGCGATTAAGATTTGAGGTTCATGTGCTCAGGGCTTATTGTTTGTTTACATAAGTTGAAGGATCTCACATGAGCAGTTCTTGTTGCAAGAAGCTTACAAATGAAGGTGTCGGAAACAAGACAAGTTTCGCCTAAACAGTACCCCCATGAGGATTACAGGCTAAGGTTTCGTGTTGTTTTTAATTAGGGTCTGGTTTACTCGTAAGGTTTAGGGGTTTGTGGTCTAAGCAACTGTGTTTATGTGATCCGGCTTTTTGGATTGGGAAGCCAACAACCCTGTCGCACAAGACGAACCTGATGAATGCCAAAGCCAAAAACCCTGAAGTTTCAAGTTGCAGGATGGCACCCTAGACACGAAGTCCCATGTAAGGCCTCAGGGACACTCTTCCGAGTTACCACGCCTTCTGAACTGGGGTGGTTCAGGGTGCCGCTGCACATCCACCACCACCCGGCACCTTCAAGGGATGTGGTCTTTCAGGGTTACGGGTTTAGTGGCTCATGGTTTAGGGGTTTAGGGTGGCAGGACAGGAGCCCCCGGAAATGTTGAGGCGAAAAGCATTAGACTCTAATGTTGTTCGCCTTTATAGGCTCATCTTTTGACCTTAAAAGATCAAAGCCCAGGCAACAGGTAGAGGAGGCCGTGGCAGTCCTGTTGCGCATGAACATCTTCACCTGTGAGCTGCACCGCACTGAAGCTTTGACTGGGGAACTCGGTGATATGTCCGCATTCAGCCGCTTTTGGGTTGCGGGCGCACTGATCTGGTGGAGTCTGCTTCCTCTGGTTTTACGTGGGACGAGCAGGACAGTCATGATTGACATTCTCACGGCAGCCATGGCTTTGTCAGCACAGACGAGCGTTCATACGGACAAGGCAGAATCCCCAATTTTGACGTCCGGCATCATCTTGACGTCATGTATCGGAGCGGCAGGAGCTTCTGCCCGGTCTCTTCGCGCTCGGCGTCGGCAGAAGACCGTCCTGCCAATGAGCAGCTGCACCAAGGGAACTCCCAGCACAGGCAAACGTGCAAGGCGATGGGGTCCAGCAAGAGAAAGTGCCAGACACGATGGACCTAATACAAAAGATCCAGAGTACAGGTAAAGCTCCCGGTCTTGCAAAGCAACGCCGGAATCATGGTGCTGCCTCATCTCTGAAGAAACAGGGCCGACAGTCGTGCATCATAGACTATGGCTATAATGGAGCTTCAAAGAAGCCGTCTGCGTTCGATCGGAAGCGTAGGCTTTAGGGTAGTGGGTCGGGGTGGAAAGTATGCTGGTATGATTCGCACAAGCTGTTAGTAAAATAACCGTGCATCAGATTGAGCCCCAGAAGCAGACCCCTAATCCCCAAACCCTAAACCCACGCAAGCTGGGTGGGCAGGCAGAAGAGAGGTCTCAACAAAACAACAAAATACCAAGCAAGCAACACTTCGAGAATCCTGAGGTCTGGAGGTGAACAAAATGAAGACTTGCGCCCGGGAGGTGCCTGCCAGATTTGAGGTTTAGGCTTTAGGGTTTAGGGTTTAGGGGTTTAGGGGTTTTGGGGTTTAGGGGTTTAGGATTCAGGGATGTTAGAGTTTAGGGTTTAGGATTCAGGGATGCCAGGTTGGAGTTTAGGGTTTTGGGTTTACTGAGGGTTTCAGGGCCTGCGAGGATGAATCTGATGGTTAGCATTCTAAAGATCATTGGGGTCTGGGGTGTCGGGATCTGGGTTTAGGGTTTAGGGTTTAGGGGTTTAGGGTTCAGGGTTTGCAATGTGCCAAAGGCTTCAGAGGCCCTACGGCGCAACACGTAGTGCCCCTGCTGAAGGATATCTAGGACAGCCAGCATGAATGAGATCCAAGACCCTTCATTGAGGGTTTTGTCGGGGAATGTACTTGTACCGTTCCAACACTGCTGACGTGGATTCCCCGAAGCGATCGAAATCGCCCTTTTTGCAAAGTTAAAGTGGGTTCCCATCAATACTGTTCTTGCCTCCGAGGTTAGAGAGTTCCGGTCTATCAATGTGTGGTAACCTTTTCCTTGTAATCGTGCAGCCCTGTACCAGAAACCTCTCTAGACGGCCACAGAAGTGCTTTGCACGACTTTTGTTGGGCAGGTTTTGGAAGACAGGATTTAGGGGATCCTATGTGGTGCAAAGTTTCAATACGATCGTGTAAGTCCCACCCCCTCCCCCCCCACCCGATGCAAGTCTGTAGGGTTTGAAATCCTGAGTGAAAACCTGTGGTTAGGATGGTACACCCATATTGAGCCCGCATAGAACTCGTAGACGAACTTCAGCCTATAGTGGGATCCTGTGCACTGTCGTTCCCTGACGCCCAGATGATCGACGTTGACGACGAGATGGTCGAGAGCTTATGCTGTGGGCTGTTCTGGTTCAGGGTTTAGGAGGGGTTTCCCTTAAACACATCTTCGACCCAACCGTAAGCCCTATAAGCCTTAAACCTTCAACCCACTGAAGACTTTAGGTTCTATCCTGGTTAAGGCTTCTCGGTTTAGTTGGGTTTGCCACGGGTTGCCAGAGTCGCAGATGTCGGTACGGGATGTCGTGCTTGGAACAAGCGGAATAGGGGGTCCATCGTATCAACTTAAGGTTTAGGGTTTGGGATTTAGGGTTTAGGCTTATGGAGACTTAGAGGTTTCGGGGTTGGGATTTAGGGTTTAGGCTT